TTTGAAGCTAACCACGATGAACTCGATGACATCCAGAAGGAGTGAAGAAGGACTGCCTGTTCAACTGGTCCTACTACTTATCAACATGGGCATGCTGCTTCTAGGCTGTTATAAGTTCGATTTTGCAAAGATGGAGTATAGTGGGGATTGGCTTTCAGCATTACACCCATGGCAATTTTTTCGTGAACTCCTGTGGCCACTTTCGTTAGCTTAGTTGCTTTGTGTTTTTTGTTATAGATAAGCAAGATTTGATGAATTCAGATCTTAGAGGAAATATTATAAGCATGAAACTTGCCAAAAACGCAGTGTGCTAGCTTAATTAGATTAGAATCAAAGTGATATGAAAAGGAGGTTATATAAATGCTGGCAATATTATTACAAAGTGAAGAAATAAAGCCTGAGATGTGGAAAGAATTTCACCAATTCCTCCCATAAGACTCTGATCAAAGCTTCTTCTTTTTTATATGTTATAACAGCATAGAAGCAGCGTGCCCATGTTGATGAGGAGTAGGATCAGTCAAAGAGGCAGTTGTTTCTTCACTCCTTCTGGGCGTTGTCGAGCTCATCGTTGTTAGCTTTAACAGATGAGAAAGAAAAGCGATAGAGAGAGAGACAAAAACTTAGGGGATCTCACATTCCGAATTTTGGGCCTAGAAGTACTGAAATTAGCCTGAAATGAACAAGCTACCAGACCCTTTTTAGCAAAGGTCCTAGAGATTTCCTGGAAGGATAGTAGGATCCCCAAGGACTAAATCGCAAGGGAAAGTTTTCTAGGACTTAAGAAAGAGAAAGTTAAAGACTCTAGTGAAGTCTCGAGGCCCAGAATGATAAATAGAGATGAATGTAGGGCAATAATTATGTTGAAGGCCTCAATGAGGTGAATTTTGAGGTTAGCCAAACCATGGGAAAATTATAATTTTGCAAAGTTTTGGGCTAGTAAAGGCAAAATGGAAATTATGCCCAAATCCCAGAAAATGAGAAATTGTGGGTTAATGCCTGAACACCTAGGAAAATTTTCAGAAACTAGGAATAAGGTTTAGAGGTTTGTATGAGGCTGTAAATGCCCTTGGAAGGAATTTGTGGAATTCCCACGGTTTTGACTGATTTTGAATATTATTAAAATAAATTATTTAAAGTATAGGGAGGCCTCAGATAATTGGAATAAAATGGAAAAAAATACTTGAGAAATTATGACAAGTTTTAAAAATAATTCCATCCTCAGAAAGCGAAGAGGTTGGCTTTAATAGAATTTAAAGCCTATTTATACACTATTTAGGAAAAGTCAAAGTCAAGGTCTAGAGGTTGACTTTGGACTTAAGAAAAATTAGAGGAATTTCTTGTGATAAATAAATAGTATTGGTACCTGGAGATAAATTCTCAGAGTTGTGGACCAGTAGAAAGAATTCGATCAAGATCACTTCGAAATAAATATTATTAATTATTTTAATGAAAGAACAAGGGAGGGCATCACTCTCTCTTTGGGCATGTTATATAATGCCATGTGGATTTATTTGAGGTGAGAAAATGGTGCCATAACATGTCCCAGTGGTCCCTGTAAGTCAGGGCTTGAAAAGTACCCTATACGGTGCAGAATGGCAAGATAGGTGGAGGAATACCTAAAGGTTGTATTTTGCACGAATTTTATATTAATTTCCTCCCTATTTTAATGCCAAAATGATGAAGGAATATGAAGGAGACAAGTGTGCGATTAGATGGGAAAAGAAGGTATTATGTGTACGGCTGGATGCAAGACACGTGTACGGTCAGATGCAAGACACGTGTACAGTAAAAGCATGTGGATTGATGATGTAAGCATGATGTCATCATCATGAGGTAAGCATGATGTCATAGGATACTTGTCACCATAAGATTAAAAGAGAAAATAGACGGCCCAGATCAAGCCACACATTCTTAAGATCAACAGCTCAGATTCAGTCTTGTTTTCTATAAATACCCCCTCCCCACCCCTCATTTTCGTCCAACCTAGAGGAAACCTTGGGGAAGCTCTAGCAAAATGGTTTCTAGAGAGAAAGAAGAGAGAGAAAGAAAGGCCAAGTGGTCATATGTAAGATCGAGCTCCAAAACAAGGTATGTTTATGATTTTTGATGTAGTTTTCACTACCCTTGTTGTTGTTAAGCTTGGTTATGGATTTTAATGATTTTAGGGAGCTTGAAACTCTAGGGGGACACGCTGCACAAAATTCTTAAGAGTAGAGGAAGGTGAAATTGATGTTAGAATAATGTTCAAAGGCTTGAAAGGAACACAAATCAAGTGGTTTTATGCTGAAATTGGTTGAACTTCATGATTATGTAACTTGGGTAATATTTCGGCCAGGGCTGGTTCTTGGGCTAGGATTGGATTTTGATCATTTTGATGCTTCCAATGTGTTTAAAATGAAAAATTGTGTGGGGTAATGGTGAGAAAACAAGTTTGGAAGCATTAGAATTGAAAGTGGAATGTTGAGCCCTAACACCCTATGTTTGGCCAGATCAAGTTGAGTAGGGAGGAGTTTGATTTTGATTATTTTGAGCTTGGAAATAGATTCTACATGTAAAATTGTGTGGGAATAGTATGTGGAATTAATTTTGGGAAGGTTGGAAATCAAGCTCAAAAGTTAGAAGCTAATATAGCTCAAAGAAAACAAAGTATTGATGTTATTGATTACCATGGCTCTAATGAATGAATGGAAATGATGTGTTAGTGAATTTAGGGCCATGACACATCAAGGAAAAGGAATGGCAAAGGTTGAGGAAGAAACCTTAACGGTTGGAAGCAAAAAGGAGCAAGTTGAAGAGCAAGAGAAAACTTATGATACAAGGTAGCGAACTTACCTTTCTTGTGTGATTGATGTGTATGTGTGTATGTGCTATGAATGCCATGATGTGATTAAGCTATGTTGTTGAATTAGGATTGCTATGTTTATGTTAAGCATGCCTTGGTATTATGTTATGTGAATATGAATGAACTAGCTTACTTTCCATGGCATTTCACCATGCATGAAAGATAAAGTTATGTGCACAAAAGCATGCCATACACTTGCATCCATCTTGCTTGTATAAATGGTAATGTTTGCTATTGAGGTTCTCCTAAATCTCACCCTCCCTTAACCAACCATACTAGGTGCAAGAGAATGGGAGAAGAAATCAAGAAGTGGAGCAAGAAAGAGAGGAAAAGACTTTAAGAAATGTATTACATTACGTTATACACTGTATATAGCAATCTGTGTTGTAAAGGTGCCATTGATGGTATGTGATTATAAATGATGATGTTGGCTTGGGTAATTAGCTATGATAATGTATGGAAATAGTTAGTATATGAATGGAATGGTATTATGTATAGAAAGTCCTAATCATGAACTGTTAGTGCAAGTTAGGAGATAAGCTATCCCTAATTGAGCAACAAATTAGTGATAGTGTAGAAGTATGACAAATGACTAACTCTGCTCATAAAATTTGGCATGATTAAAGTACACACCCTGAGCTTTAGAACAAGTAATAGATCACTTAAAACGGATGTGTGTGCTAAGAGTTATAATTGCTCAAAGTTGGACTGAAAATCTGAAATTTAACCAGTGAATAGTAACATGAGAACCAATTACAAAGTTCAATCTATGGGCTTATTTTGTGAATTGCTTGAACCATAACGCTTCCAAACATGTACCCTGAGGGGTTAAAGGTAGGATGTTTCAGGGGAGGGGAGCGACAGCGCATTGTCAGATCATTCTTTGCCATTGTCTGTTAACAATGTTTGCAACATCAATGGCAGAAGGATTTTGTAAATTTAACAAAATTAACTACAAGGATTCAATAAAAAGAAATAAAACTATAAGAATCTAATTCAAAATTTGATCAAACTATAAGGACCTGAAATATATTTTCCCTAAATCAAGTTATAAAGACACATCATCATTTTTTAAAAAATAAACTATAAGAATTTAAGTTACAATTGGAGAAAATTATAGTAAAGACCTACCGGCTTAATTTTTCTTATAAATAGGAAAAGAAATAAATGGCCACTTGATCCCATAGCTGATGATCGTACCGTTGAGAAATAAGAACAATGCGCAGGAACCTTCACTCCTTTATTTCTCTTATAAAAATATACTGTATATATAGTGAAATATGTAACTGTAGTTTATATATATAAATATCAACTCCCCAGATATTAGGTAGATTATAGGGAATCAGATTTATTTTTGAATTATTCCTAGAATATCTCTGTAATCTCTCTCGATCTCCATTCTGCTTATATATACATTGTACAGCAACACCCAGAAATATACAAGTGAATATTTTCATATATACCATGTCTATATGGTACCAGAGCCAGCGGACAGTCATCCCTCAACGAGTCCGGTGAATTCCTCTTCTTCGTCCTCCACATCGGAGGACATATCAGTTGGATCAAGCCCCAGGCAGCGTCCGACCATGATGGACCCTCCTGGTGGATCCCCTGCGCAAGTTTCTGGTTCGACCAATGCCACCTCCGTGTCGACCATCAATGTCGATAGCTCCTCTATTGCTTTTGTGTCGGAAAAACTCATCGGCAGAAATTACAGGGAGTGGGCTCAAGCTATGCGATTAGCCATTGGTGGTCGTGGCAAGCTTGGTTTGATCACTGGAGAATCGACCGCACCTAGTGACCCAAAGTCTTCAAAGATGCAGCAATGGCTCACGGACAATTCTCTTATGTGCTCCTGGTTGATTAACGCTACGTCGCCTTCCCTTAAACGAAGTTTTATGTATTTACCTACTACTAAAGACATGTGGGATGCTGTTCGAGAATCCTATTTTGATGGTGAGGACCTTGCCCATCTTTATGATCTAAAAACCAGAATCTGGAATATCAAGCAAGGTACTCGCACCGTTACTGACTACTGGTTGGAGCTCATTGGACTATGGCAGGAATTGGATATGATTATTGAGGAGGAGTGGTCATCTTCCATTAATGCTGCATGACACAAAAACAATGTTGAAAAGGAACGTGTTTTTCAGTTCCTCGCTGGTTTAAACCTTGAGTTTGATGACATTCGAAGCCGGATTCTAAGTCATTCGTCGCTGCCTAACACTCGTGAGGCTTTCTCTGAAGTACGTCGTGAAGCCTCACGTCGTGATGTTATGCTGTACCCCACCTCTTCAACCATTTCTGACTCCTCTGCCCTTGTCAGTAGAGGGGGGTCCTCATCTTCCTCCACAAAGTCTAAAGTCACTTGTGATCACTGTAAGAAGCCAGGCCACACTCGTGACTGTTGCTGGGACATTCATGGCAAACCAGCTGATTGGAAATCTCGAAAGGGTAAACCTCGGGGTTATCAGGTATCACCAGAACCCTCCCAATCCTCTGATTCTCTTCTACCCTTGTCAAATGAGCAACTGCAGCAGTTACTTACTACTCTTAAAGGCCTCCCAGCGCAGCAACCTCCCCCTGCTGTGTCTGCCTCCATAGCTCACACAGGTACTCCTCCATTCGCTCTTCACACTTCATTCTCGTCTAACAAATGGATAGTTGACACTGGTGCTACTGACCATATGACCTCGGATGCTCGTATGTTTCTTACCTATTTTCCCTGTGCTGGTAATGACACGATCACCACTGCTAATGGTTCGGCTTCTCCCATTGTCGGTAAAGGCTCGGTTACTCTTTCAAATTCACTGCATCTCAATTCTGTCTTACATGTCCCTCATTTGGCCTGTAACCTTCTTTCTATCAGCAAAATACTAAACATGCAAATTGTGGGGTGCTTATTTTTTTCCCACTTACTGTATTTTTCAAGATCTCTCATCGAGGAAGATGATTGGCATAGCTAGGGAGCATGATGGTCTCTATTGTCTCGATGTCTCTACCGTGACTACCTTGTGTTCGCAAATCTATGGTCCTGTCTCTACTTCTGACAATAATGATATTTTATTATGGCATAAAAGAATGGGTCATCCCAGTTTCTCTTATTTGCAACGTTTGTTTCCTCATTTATCCATTAATAAAAATTCCATTCTTCATTGTGATTCTTGTACACTTGCCAAACACCATCGTGTACCTTTCCCACCATCGCAATACAAACCAACTCGTCTGTTTTCTATAATTCACAGCGATGTTTGGGGTCTGTCTCGTGTTTCCAATCGTACCCACTCAGAATGGTTTGTCACCTTCATTGACGATCACACACGAATGACTTGGGTTTACTTAGAGAAAAATCCATTGTTCCCTCTGTTTTTATGGAATTCTTTCACCTTGTCCAAAATCAATTTAACACTACAATTCAGGTTTTATACACAAATAATGGTACTGAGTTTTTTAATCAATAGCTTGACTCTTTTCTAAAAACCAATGGCATTGTCCACAATAGCTCTTGCCCTCATACCCCACAACAAAATGGTGTTGCCGAATGCAAAAATCGACATCTTTTTGAGGTAGCCCGTGCGCTCCTGTTCACATGTAATGTGCCTAAATTTTTCTGGGGGGATGCTATTCTTACAGCCACTCTTTTAATCAATCGAATGCCGAGCCATGTTCTCTCTTTTGTCTCTCCTTTAGACAAACTTCATGAAACTCACCCAGTCACTCATCTTGATCACCACCTTCCGCTTCGCATCTTTGGTTGTTCTGCCTTTGTTCATCTTCCTCACCCTCAATCTAAACTTGATCCACGTGCCGTTAGGTGTATTTTTTTGGGGTACTCATCTAGTCAGAAAGGATATAAGTGCTATGATCCCACTTCCAAACGCCTCTTTGTTAGTCGTGATATCTCTTTTTCTGAGCATGAGCCGTACTTTCCCACTTCTTCAATTCAGGGGGAGAATTGGAGTGAATTTCAGCGTGTAGAAAGTGTACCTGAGCCTATACCTCCAACTCAGCCTGTTCTATCCATTTCACCTAGTAATTCTACACCTATTCCTCCCGATGTTGTGCAAGTGCCAAAGGCAGGGGGAGATAACACCAACAATAAATATAACAAGGTATACACACGGCGAGATAAAGAAACTATAGAGATCATAATGCCTAGAGCTCTGCCAGAATCTGACCAAATGAAAGATTCTGAAACGGCGATAGAAGTGAATGAGGAGGACTTGCCCATTGCCCTAAGAAAGAAGACTCGCTCTTGTACCATGCATCCTATCCAAAAGTATGTATCGTATGCCACTCTATCTCATGATTATCATGCTTTTACCACTAATATTTGAAATCAGAATACCTAAAAATGTACATGAGGCTCTTGAGCATCCTGAGTGGAAGAAGGCAGTGATGGAAGAAATAGCAGCATTAGAGAAAAATGAGACTTGGGAAGTGGTTAATCTACCAAAAGGGAAGAAAAAAGTTGGATGCAAGTGGGTCTTTACCCCGAAATATAATGCCGATGGAACACTCTACAAGTTCAAGGCACAATTGGTAGCCAAGGGTTTCACTCAGACCTATGGGCTAGATTATAATGAGACATTCGCTCCCATGGCAAATTTAAATACAATAAGGATTCTGTTATCGATTGCAGCCAACTTGGATTGGCCTTTACAACAATTAGACATCAAAAACACATTCCTTAATGGAAAATTAAAAGAGGAAGTCTATATGACACTGGCCCCAGGTTTTGATAGAGGGAGACAAAATCAAGTTTGTAAGCTGAAGAAATCCTTGTATGGCCTAAAACAGTCCCCCAGGGCATGGTTCGATAGATTCTCCAAAGTTCTAAAGGTTGAAGGCTAAAGGCAAAGTCTGTCTGACCATACAATGTTCGTTAAGAAGAATGGAGCACTAAAGGCAATTCTTATTGTCTACGTAGATGACATTATTCTTACAGGTGATGATGTAACCAAGATAAACTGAATAAAGACAGCTTTGAATCGAGAGTTTGAGGTCAAAGATCTAGGAAAACTAAGGTATTTCCTTGGAATGGAAGTTGCACATTCAAAGAAGGGAATCTATGTCTCTCAACGAAGGTATATTCTTGATTTATTAAAAGAAACTGGTATGCTTGGTTGCAAGCCAATTAAAACACCAATGAGTGTTAAGAGGGAAAGCACCAACCGAGGTAAGAAAAAGGCAACTACCAAAGAAGAGGCTGAGAAAGAAAAAAAAAACGACAAAAAGATGAGGAACCCATGGACATTGGCAGATACCAAATGTTAGTAGGAAAGTTAATCTACTTATCACACACTCGACCTGACATAACCTTTGCGGTAAGGGTAGCAAGTCAACATATGCACTCACCCAAAAGAAACACATGGATGCAGCCTACAGAATTTTGAAGTATTTGAAAGTAACACCAGGAAGAGGACTTTTCTTTAAAAATGTGAATCTAGAACGGTGGAAATTTACACAGATGCAGACTGGGCAGGTGCTCCAGAGGATAGCAGATCCACATCTGGCTATTGTACCTTTGTGTGGGGAAATCTAGTGACGTGGCAAAGTAAAAAACAAAATGTTGTATCTAAAAGCAGTGCAGAATTAGAATTGAGGGCCCTAGCTCAAGGTATTATGAAAGGTCTCTGGTTGGAAAGAGTAGCAGAGGAGGCTCAAGTTCAGATCAGCAAACCAATGAAGCTATTCTGTGATAACAAGGCAGCTCTGAATATGGCTTTAAATCCAGTACAACACAGCAGAACCAAACATGTCGAGGTTGATAGACATTGTATTAGAGAAAAAGTAGAGGATGGGATTGTATGTTTGTCCTATGTGACCTCAAAACAGCAAATTGCAGACATTCTCACAAAAGGGCTTCCTGAAGACTTGTTCGAAAAATTCATTAGCAAGTTGGACATGATTAGCATCTATGATCCAACTTGAGGAGGAGTGTAGTTTGTATATATAAATATCAACTCCGAGATATTAGGTAGATTATAGGGAATCAGATTTATTTTTGAATTATTCCTAGAATATCTCTGTAATCTCTCCCGATCTCCTCTGTAATCTCTCTCGATCTCCATTCTACTTATATATACAGTGTACAGCAACACCCAGAAATATACAAGTGAATATTTTCATATATACCGTGTCTATAGTAACCAAGAAATTTTATATGGTTAATAATTACATTTGTCTCATTTGTATTATTTGAACGACCACAGAAGGATGAAGACTTGATTTTTATCACGAAAAGAAAAGAAATGTTGACTTGATCAAATTCATGCACACAAAAAAGGACTTCCAAAAGAAATTGTTTGCAGTGAAAAAGAATAACAATAATAATCACCATCAATCCTCAATAATAACCGTTTCAATAGATTTTTATCAGAAACAACGCAGAAGTTATTGACACCATATACAGTGAAAAAAATTGGAAGAACATTCCGTTAAGCGACACGAGACGGCATTATAAATTGGAACACAAAGTTACCCTAAACTTGCATCACGCAGTAAGTAAACCAATCACATAATGATGAAGCAGACGAGTCATTCTTCTCTGCAAGAGACGGAGCTGATGAACATAGAGACTGCTCATCATCATGAAGAAGATAGGATGAGAGTTCTCTATGAAGCTTCATATAAAGGATGTGTTTCAACCTTGAACTCACTGCTACAGGAAGACCCTGGAATCTTGCAGAAGATTAGCTCACAAGCTGTCTTCATAGAAACTCCCCTGCACATATCAGCTTCACATGGTCACCTTGAGTTCACAAAAACCCTCCTCTCTCACAAACCAGAACTTGCCCTTGAGAGAAACTCTTTACAAGGCACACCTCTCCACTTAGCTTCTGCAGAAGGCCACATGAAAGCAGTTGTTGAAATACGGCGAAGAGGCGTGCTTTGTTCGTGATCAGGAAGGCAGAATTCCCTTGCTCTATGCAGTTATAAGAGGCAGAAGAGAAGTTGTGTTGGAGCTGAGTAGAGCAAAGCCAGAGTCCGTGAGGTTACATGATGACAACGGGGAAAATATTTTCCACTTGTGTGTGATGTACAACCACTTGGAGATCCTTAAAGATTTGATGGCTTTGGATATTCACGACACCAATAAGCTTCTCATTGAGCGAGACTCGGATGGCAAGAACACCATTCTCCATTTGGCTGTCATGCTGAAGCAAGTCAAGGTACTTTTTTACTTGTATAACCAGCTTGAGTTTGAGATCACATTACATATATAACCATTTTCGATCTTTTTCTGGTTCTGTTAGGTATAAGTCACAAGCATAACAAATTAAATTTTCTTGTTGGTTGTTATGTTCAGACTGTGAGTTACCTCATTTCAATTCCAAAAATAAGATCAGAATCACTGAACTTGAAGAACGACATGGGTTGTACGGCCCCAGATATCGCTTATGGGTTTCCCAAGGACTCCAAGAGCCTTGAAATACAAGTCATATTGATGGAGTGTGGAATCAGACGTGGAGGGAGAGAGAAGATTGGCGGTGACAGCAGGGAAGAGAGATGTTGGATGAAGAAGTGGTCGTGGAAAATTGTTTTCAACCAAATAGACCAATGGTTCCAGTATAATGGCGATTGAGTAGAAGACATGAGGGGGAATCTAAGTCTGGTGGCTACTGTCATCTCAACCATAACCTTTCAAGCTGCACTTAACCCTCCGGGAAGCGTCATCCAACAAAATATAAGACCCAGCGATCCCGATTTCAACCTCACTACCGGTTACAACACTTCTATCATTGACGGACCCCTCGGCTGCTTGCCGTACCGAGATAATTTTGGGTTTGACCGCTCTTACGGACCTTGTCCCGGGCAGGCCATGTTTGCTTATCGTGAGCCATATTACTTTGGCGAATTCATAACCTATAAAACCATCTCTTTTGTGGCATCTCTGTGTGTTGCCCTCTTGCTTGTAAGCGGAGTTCCTCTCAAACATAGATTTGTGTTGTGGCTCCTATCCATAGGCATGGGCATAGCTCTCACCTGCCTTCTGAACGCCTATTTTCTTGGCCTCGAACTTCTTTCCCAAGACTCAGTGCAGACCGGAAAAACGGGGTGATGATAGCCACTGGAATTTTTATTGGCTTGTATGCACTGGTTGGTGTATACATTGCGGTGAAGTTTGTTATATGGGTGGTGAAGAAATTGAAGGACAAGATAACGAAAGTGAAGAAATAGAAGGGAAACTTGGCATCAGAAGTCAAGTAAACACTTGATGCGTCTTAGGTGTGTAGAACTTTTCAGGGGTTGATTACCGTTAATGTTCCTTGTGTATGCATATATATATATATATATATATATATATGCACTTCTTAAATATTTAATGAATGGCCTGTGTTGTAGAAGTTTTCAGTACTGTCTTCCTCATCTTCACTCATCTCATCCTCATCACACAATTTGTATCTTAATATGCTTCAAGTTTTGAAGGTCGTCTCACTTGCTTATGTGTATGAGACGCCTTCTTCCCCCCATGAAATTACATCTCGATCTTTATTTCGTTGTTATCGTAAACCATTTTTATAACCTTTTTTTCCTTAAAAAAATAGATTAATTCAATGAAATTTAAGATTTATATGCATGGCTCACTTTCCTTTAAAAAGAAACTTTAATATATATATATATATATATATATATACTGCTAAAGAGATGTATTCTTCTACTGATAGCAATCCTGTTTGAGATACTATCAGTACAAAATGTTGGCAACTTTCTCAATGAAGATTTGAATATTGACTTGCCTTGTTGTGAGGGATTAACCCCTTTTACTAGACTAATCCCGTTAATAAATTTTAAAATAATTAGTGATGTGCCACCATATCTTATCAAAAATGGGCCAAATGAGAATATGGGTTGTCGATGAACTAAATGGGCTGAAAAATATGCCCAAGGGTTTGACAAGCATAGGTTATCAATAACAATCAAAATTCAGAAATATATGTATATATAATGACAGAACAAATGTCAAGCAAATGTAATACTGTTCTCATCACAATATGGATACTATCATACTTTAGAAATAAAAAAATATGCAGAAAGGGAAATGCCAGAAGAAGAGAAGAAGAATTCCAAAGGGAGGGAGGGAGCCACAGAAAGAGGAGAGATTGCAAAATCATTCCGCCCTCCTTCTGGTCTTCTTTGTGTCTGTTTGTGTCTTCGCTTTTGCCTACCCTAAGCCCAAAGTCATCAGTCCAATAATACTCTCTTGGCAATCCAATTCTCTCAGCTTCCAGCCATTCCCGTCTCCTTGATTCTTGGTTTGGGCTCTCTTTTAGATCACCAACTAGGCCCAACTCCGTTAGGATCGTTACATTATCTAAGTAAAGGGGTTACCATGAGAAGGCGCGGATGGATTTTATTTTACCAAGTCACTCTTCTTCTCTGGCCATCGTCGCTGTCGCGTAACTGCTGAACTTCATCTCTTCTGCAACTTCTTATCTGTAACTACTCCTTACTGCTTCTTCTTTCTTCGAGACTCTTTCTTCTTATTTCTAAATATTGGGGTCTTGTGTTTCTCATATATATGTGTGTATATGTTTGTGCTTTGAAGGACATTTTTAACCCTGTGGCTATTGTTTAAATACCAATTTCACTATGATTGAGTTGATTTCCAGCGTTAGTTTCGGAGTAACCATAACATGACGGCGGAGTAGTTGGGATATTTCCTTTACCGTTTCCAATGTTCGGTCGATAACCCCACCTTCTTTACAAACAAGACTTAGTCTCTAAATTTCTAGCCACCCGCTTGAATAACTGGTGGGGGCTGGGGGTTGGGAAACAACTTGCTAATTCCATTCATGTGCTTCCAAGCATAACGTCAAAAAGCTTAAGGCATACTATTACCTCAATTCAGGAATAGTCTAGAGGCATCTCAATGACCCCCTTAATTTGAATATATTATTATTAGCCGCCAATGTGGACTCAAAGCTATTTATGACTTTGCACATCCCCCTCGTTTTCTTATCATCCCAAATATACTCTTTTGTCCTTTAAAATGTTAAACTTACTACTCATATGATACTAGCATTATGTTTGGTATGAAGGAAATGGAAAGAAAGAGAGAGGAGGAAAATTTTTTATGAGTTCAATTTAAAAAATTAAAAAAAGGGATTATAAATTTTAATAAAGAAAAATGTAAAACTAAAGAGTAATAAAAATTAATTAAAAGCTTTTAACCCCACTTGGTCATATCTAGTTAAATCAATATAATGACCTGTGCACAAGCTAGTTTCGTTACTCCACCAACGGATTAGTTACAGAATTAATGAAGCAGCCAATATGGTACAGAATCAATGATAAATTACTCCTCCGGTCCTTAATATAAGACCCATTTAACTAATTTGATCAGATTAAAGAAGTTAGGTAAGTTAGTTAATTATAAGAAATGTGACACGTTTTTCTTAAAATATCATAATCATCTTTCTTAATACTCCATTTTCCTTTTCTACTTGATTATAGTTGAAGGAGGATCTATAGGTGTAATTTAGAGAAAATTAATAAATATGAGAAATGAGTCTTATATTTAGGACCAAAACCAACTCAACTATTAGATTTTATATTAAGAACCAGAGGAGTACTTGTTAGAATCAAAACTTAAGTACAAATAGAGGATTCATAGGAAAAGTTCAAATAAGTTATTTCTATACATTTGCATCTATTACCGTTGAACTTGTTGAGAGATCTATTATATTGTTACATAATTGAGTTTCTGTCTATGATACCATATATCTCCCGTTCTTTTATATAATGTATATATATTCTCTTGAAATCTAGCATAAGCTAGCTTGCATAGTAAAGAACCAGCCTTAGTCAATCAATTTGTGAAAAAGAAAAATCTATTTTTATCTTAATTGTATCATGACCAACCCAATCAAATATGATGCCGACCTTTCTAGCCGCTTGACTTGCCATTTCAAAAATATATTACTCTCTACGAAACAACATTGGCCTTTTACTTTGATCTTCAACATTCCCTGACGTGTCCAAAAAGTCAGATAAGATATGGTTACATCTTAAACCGGCCCCGCTAAGGAAACGCAGCTCCAATATGAGCATTTGGATTCTTTGACTCTAAGTAAAGATGATAGCTCGGCATGCCCTGGAGATGCAGTATCAGCTATTAGATACGCACCTTATTTTCATCCTCCCTACACAAAATACAATAACTTAGCTTTCATTTCATCTCTCACTGTCCTCCTCATACTCGTAAGTGGAGTTCCCCTCAAGCATAAGGCTGTGATGTGGATGCTATGGGCATAACTCTCTCATTCTTGGTACCCACCTGCATTAATGGCCTCTATTTGATGAACCCAGGTGGTGAACTTTTTGACTCTGCTTGGAAATGGTGAGAGTATCACGTAGGATTTGGATTGGCTTCCTAGGTGTGGCTGTTCTGCTTATAACATGGTGCTTATTATTTGGCTAGGCAAGAAAAAGTAGTTGAAAAAAATTCAAGCTTCAGATTCATCCTAGCATCGGCAACGACAGCATATGACAACCGCCAGGCTTCGGAATTATGGATCTCTTCAGAATATGCTGTCAAAGTCTTGGGCCAAACATAAGAATTGTTTTTAGATTATTGTTACTTCAAGTTTGTCTTGTTACTTCTTTTAGCTAGTTCTCTATTATTCGCCTCACACATGGTAATAAATTAATTTGTTTACTGTTCTGTGATTGTGTTTTGCTTGAGTAGGGGTGTTAAACTCTGACATTTCCACAAGTTTTATTTTTCTTCCGATGTCGGTTTTGCAAGTGGAACTTGGTGATTGACTGGAATGCAGCATCAGAACTATTACATCATGAATAATGAAGTTTATTATCGATGCACAGTCTACATATATATATATATATAATGATAACGGCAAATATATATATATATATATATATATAACTAGCATATAAACCCCCGTGCGATGCACGGGAAGAGTTCACTTCAATCAATATAATCAACAATATTAATTTATCACAAAAATATCAACACATTATAACACATTTCTATATATAAATAATGATATTGAAATTACCTCCTCTATTTATAAGCAGTACATACAGTAACAACTATAACTTTGTCGCAAGCCAATTAATTATAAAATACTATTTAGTTTAAAATTTTCCACATTATTATGATTTCTAATTTAAATATATTTTATTTATTAAATATAACTTTTTCCTATGATAATAATTTAAAATTATTATATTTGGTAAATTCATAATTTTTAATCATTTTTCATTACTCAATAAGAGTCATACCTATTCACCCAAATTTGGAATGGCATTTTAAATCACATTTTTATGCAAAAGTTTAACATTTATTTGCTTGTATGTTTTTTTGTATTTTCATGAAAAGCAAATTAGTCTTGCACATAGGATGGTATGCTATGTACAAAGCCAGAGACATTTTCTTATGGAAGAACCTGTAAAAACTTGTTCCTTTTTTGTCTCCCAATCATTATTGTGGTTCCCCAAAAGGATGTCATGAAGGCAACAAAATATAGCCCAATGGTCAAAGACCCTGTACGCAATTCAACCTACCAAATGCCTCCAAACTCACTTGAACAATATTCATGTCTTTAATGTGACGTGATTTTCTTTTGCAAAGCTCTTGAAGGGATTCTTTCAAGACAATACCATGGTTATTGCTGCCAATGGTTCCTTGATATGAATATGAATATACTTTATGAGCCTATGTACAATCAAAGAGACCCAACGGCCTTACTATTTTAACTACTTTCATGCTTCATACTTTTGGATCTCCTTTTTCTTCTCTCTTCCTGATACCTATTTGAAGATCAATAGACTCAATGCTTCAGTCACCTAAACTTGACTCCAATATAAAGGAAACAATGCCTTGGCCTGATCTTGGACGTAAACATTTATTCAAAGAGGCAACTTAGGAAATTTCAGTAGAAGTGTGTCTGTCTATGTAGTCATGTTTGCAAATATAAAGACTCTGGGAAACAACATCAAATATGCCCCTGCAGCACCAGCATTGCAAGAACATCCAAAACTCATTCCTTTTGAAAAGTATAGAGCAGGCTTCTTTAACATAAATGCACTTATTATTTATAACATAAATAATCTGTCCCAAGGGCTTAGATAGATATTCATTATAATACTGAGAACCATGAAAAGATATAATGAGAAATTATATTTTTCCCAAAAAAAACTTGCTGTATCGGTCCATGCATTAAGAATATTGTATCATCATGTTTACTAAAAACTTGGAAATTCTTCCATCTCCACCCCCAACAAATCGATTTCCTCAAGTAGCACTGATCCTGCCAGTTCCAGTCTAACATTTCACAAAGGAGACATTAACTGCAAACTTACATTAGGCCAAAACAACACAAATATGTCCAGAATACAAGAGAACAATAATGCTCACAAAAAGAGCAACAAAATGCCACAAATGAGCTCTGACCTTGGTAACTCTTGGGTCTTTGACATACCACCTCAAACCTTACAGCTCATTAAAAGAGTTTATTAAATGGATAAACCACATACTCCATTGAGTACCAATTCTCATACTTAGATAATGTACACTATTGGATTCAAAATCCATATTCCATACCAAAAACCTTATATGTTGCAAGAGGTGAGTTTCATTTTGATATTTAGAACACCTCAACAAATTCCAACAAAACACCAAATAGTCTAATTCAAGAACCATGCACTATAGCAAGGATGGGAAGCAAATTAATACTAATCCATTTGGAGAGAAATAAAAAACAAACACTATGGTAAGGGTGACATCTCATGTGACAAAAAAAAATACACCACTATTCTTAAATTGAAAGTATGAAGCCCACAAAGGCACTGTTAAAACTGCAGATATTAACAAATTAAATTGTATATACTCTTCATGACAATTAACATCAAGCCTCCACCAAACAAAATAGCATCCATCATACAATACCAAATAAACCTTCTATGATATTAAACAACACTGGATGAATATCAAGAAGGAAAACAACAAATATGAAAATGCTGATATGAGAGCAGAAAAAGAGTTAACCTTGATCTCTCTTCACCAAAGCAAACTAAATCACCATACCAGTTTTTGCAAGTAAATGTAAGGCTGATGTTCAACCTATAGCTTCACAACACAATATCCAAGCAAAGCACACCTTATTCTATTCTTCCTATATGATGGATGAACTTAGATAGTCTCATAAAAAAAATGAAGTAAGACATTGGAAAAAGATAATTGTACCAGAAAAATGCAGAAACCTAATCATACTGGAAGGCAGAATATTAGGGTGAACGCACTATTGAGCCATAATTACCTTTGAACCAAAGACGTTGTTCGTGAAAACATTTGTGTGCCTTCTCGGGGGCCATTAATGAGACCACAAAATGAGAATTAGCCCAGTATTTTTAGGAATAAGTCCTGCATCAGCATATGCCACTAAACCTACCCAGCTACCCCCCTATAACTTAGACGAGAAAAAGAATTAAAACCCAGTATTTAAAAATAAACAATGGAGGATTTGAATTGACTTTGTAGTACATAATATGTAATAGAAGCATAAGCTTTGAGAATAGATGATGAACACCTGACAATGAAATATAAAAACGTTCAGCCTGTTTTGTGAAGAATTTTAAAAACCCTTCGTTTAGCAAGGAAAACCCATTACAGAAAAATAAAATACATTAAAATAAAAAGACAAAATAAAACTGTGAGGAATACTTGAAGAGGATATGTAGAAAGGTGAAAGGATGAAGAAAGCTAGGATTTACCTGCAGGTTCTGCTCCAGAAGCACTCCTTGCTGTTATATGAGAGCGTCCTACCAATATCTATCACCACCCTCACCCAACGGTTGTCAGCATCGGAGACCGCAAACTCAAGCTCCCACAACGGTTTTGCAAGAACGATTCACCTGGGAAATTGAGGAGAAGAGGGGGAAAAAAAGAGGAATGGGAAAAGACAATGGGAAACACGTAAAAGGGAGAGTAAAAAATAAAGAATAGAAAGAAGACGATTTACCATGCAGAAGAAGCAAAGGAGTCCACATCTGGTGACAACCTGTGAGAACTTGCTAAGAGCATAACTAAAGCTAAAATGACGAAAAAATGAAACTCGAAGCAAAAAATGAGGGCAACGGAGAAAAGTATACGACTTATCAAGACTACAGAAAGCGTGTTGCAAGGAGAAAGCGTGTGGCAGTCAATTTTGGGATATGTTATAATTAATTTTTTTTCATTTTTCCAAAAGCCAAAAATTTACACATTTAAAAAAATCTGAAAATTTTACTATATTATAAAGGTAAGCAAAACTATTTATATTACTACGTCAAAAAATATTTATATTATAATATTGTTATATTTTCAAAGATAAAAATTATTATAAACATTAAAATATTTAAAATTGATTTTTACCGTATTAAAATTCAAGTAATTTCTGCATCTATTAATTTTTAATTTAAAACTGTTAATATTATTGCCAACCGTAAATATATATGCAGTAATTTTATATTTACTTCTTATATTTATATTATCATATACATTTCTAATATTAATTTTTATTTGCTTATTATACTTTAAAACTTTGTATATAACGTGGGGAGGAAGTCAAAAAAGCATCATAAAGAAATCCTGCAGATTTTGAAACCAAAGAGTGAGAAAGAGTTGAAATGGAGGGAACTTCAAATTTTGAAACTCCCATCTGGACACTTTAAAAAAAGTACTTGGCAAAAAAAATACAATACACAAAATTAAAAATAGGCGCAGCCCAAAATTGAGCCGCTACTATTCCTAAGCTGGTACTGTTCATAGAACAGTATTTTGAGTGAGGAGCCATTATGAAGGTGAAAATGAGCCGGCTTGTAGTTGATTTTGATTTAATATTATAGATTGATGATAACTCTCCATTTTGAGCATTTTTACATGGTATTTTGAGTGATTTTTGGAGCGTTACTATTAGAATTTTGAGTGATATCTAAGAGTTAATTAAAGAAATTAATTTGGAGCATTAATTGGGGGATTATTTCATTGTAAATGTCTTAGTTTTAAAAGAAATAAAAGTAGTTAAAAGTAATTTTAGGAGTTAAGATTGTGTTAGCTTATCTTCTCTTCTCTTATTTCAGTTTATTTTTTTATTTTATTTTAGTCTATTTTCTTGATTTTTTTCCTTTTATTTTTATTATGTTTTCTTCTTCTGCCTTGGCCGGATGCGCACCGTTTTGAGGAGTTCAGATTTGGGAAACTGAAGCCGTAAGTTCACTGCAGAGGAATTAGAGAGAACGACAGCGCTTTAGCAAACGGGAAGAGCGGCGAGTCATGGAGGGTTAAGAGCAAAAGAACCAGGATCGATTAGGGAGGCGGCTTTTTTACTGTTCCTCGTCTTTCTTCTTTGGGGAACCAGAGACGCAGGCGAGCTAGCGAAAGAGAGGAAGAGATCTAGCTGCACAATGAGGCGACTGTTCATTCTCTTCTTCTCTGGACCAGGGGACGAGTTCACCGGACTGAGCCAGTGGATCGAGACCGACGGCGAGCACGCTGCTGTTCTTCCTAGCTTTCCTTCTCAGAGGAAGCTCGACAGAGTAGCTGAAGAGGAGGGAGATCAGGGGCTGGTTTCCGGCGAGAGAAGGGAGAGACTGCATTGTTTGGAGCTTTGAATATGTGTCACCGTTGAAAATGTAGCAGGCTAAAGTCCTTTTCAGTGGCAACATTAGGTCGTTGCTGAATACTTTTAGCCGCGACATGGTTATCAGACTTGGTTGCTGAAAGTCCTGTAGTGCCATCTTTCGTTATACGCAAGTTATCATTTTTGTGTGCAAATTAGTTTCTTGTATCTAAATAATGTTTCATACAAATCATCTTTCCTATATACAATCTAACTTTTTTTATGAATAATGAAGTTTATTATCATCGCACAGTCTATTTATATATCTAGTTATAGAGCAAATGTGCCATCTTTTTAACAATATTCAATTACATCCAATTATGATGGGAGATGAAAATACTGAGACGCGTTCTTACATCCTTCAAATAAGAGAAATCTTGAGGGCAAAGAGCCTCTCTACTTCTCTTCCTCTCCATTTCCATCCCCTTTCCATCTCAACTATTGAGAGTGAAAGTTTAACGGTCCAGATTTCATGCTTTTGAAAATAATTTTATAAAGTATTTTTTATTATTGTTTTGAATTATACTGACTAAAATTTAGTAGTTTTATTTGATTTTGTTTATTTATTTTTGAAAATTTAACATTTTATTCATAATTTTATAAATATGAAATCTAAACTGTTAAAATCTTAATCTTATGGCTGATATGAGAAGTAGACGAAAATGGATGAAAAAGGAAGTGCAGACACCCCTTGCCCAACTTTTGAAGTGTTTTCTATATCTTATTTGTGGAAAAACTGTTGTTTAGATTATTTATTATTGTTTACCTCATTAAAAATATTTCTTCAAAGAATCAATTATTAAAAATCATTATAGTCAATTATTAAATCAGAGTGATTTGGTAAAGAAATTGACATCTGTTAACATATTTATTGAATCCAACTGGTTTTAACTGTATTTCTTGAATTTTAACAACTAGTAATTCATCTCTTACAAAAAAAAATAAATAGAGAATGTGCAGAAAATTAAGAATGAAGAATTATTCGGAATAGATAGAGACTCAAGAGAAAATAGGCTTTTTATTTTTAAGTTATTTGAATAAAGCTCCATTAAAAAATGCTTGGAGATTATTCTTTGCTATCAGCCATCATCCACGAGCTCAAGAGAGACACACGCACACAAGAATTCAATTATGTAATGAATGGGCTTTTCATTAATGAGAAGCAGTAGGAAGTTACTAGTGGGGCAAAATAAGTTACTACTCGGCTCAGGAAGTATGGGCTGTCATGGATAGAGATATCAGAGAATTTTTGCAGAGTCGTTTCTCCCTCACTAGGGATTAGGTCTAGTGGAAAAAATTAATCCCTCATAAATTAGCAAACTAAAATTTGTATCCCCGTTGGAAGAGGTGTTGACATTAGTACCTGATAGTATCTCGAACATGATTGCTTCTGCTAGTAAGATACATGTGCTTCTTAGGGGGAAAAAAAACTATATTACTAATTTAGAGATATAAAATAATACAAGATCTGGTTAACTAATTTGAAGAGATTAAAAAATTACTAAATTGCTTAATTATAACAGATGTTACATGATCTTTCTGAGATACTTATGTGTATCATTAGATTATATATCAATTTGTAAATAAAAAAAATTAGTTTGAAAAAAATGATAAATATAAATATTTTAAAGTAATTTAATAATTTTCTTACTTTTTTAAATTAGCTAATAAGTAGATCTTATATTGATGACTGAAGGTAATAATAACAATAACAATAATAATGCCTCCCCAGTAAAGTATTAACCTGACCAATATCATTGTTGAGTAGTATAAATTTTGGAGTCCTAGCAATACCGGCTTCAATATATTCTGGAAGCATGTTGTTATTAATAAAGATAAAAAAAGAGCATATTATTAAGCATGTGATGGGTCGTGTTAGTAAACAAGTTAGCTTCGTCAAATCCATTAAGCCCACAGAGTCCAAATCTGTTATACCTTGCAAACTCCAATAGCTTCTAGATTATCTTGACAGCTCTAGAATCAGTTATGCTTATGTATAAAATCACGTGCATTCTGTTTTAATATTTGCTGATGAGGCACTAGGCCACTTAACCCTTATGTCCCTTATGGACATAATCTTTGATTATAAATACAAGTGACTTGCCTTAGTTCAAACCAACTTTTTGATTGAGAGCATTTATTCATGGGAAAATTTCACTGTAGGACCGCAGAAGACAAATAATCTCAAAGAGCCCCCAAAACTTTCTGAAACCTCACTGCAGGACCAAGGGGCCAATCTGATATTAATTCCACAAACGAAATGATGCAACTGCCCCTCATTTTACTTCCGCTGAAATTTGAAAATAAGGCGAAAAAGCAACGGTCAAAAGTCCTCCCGCTCTCTCTCTATGCGAACGTAACCCGTGTGCGAAAACTGTTCCCTCTCCCGCTCTGCGAACGTGCAACCACTCTGGGAAAACTGCTGCGTCTCCCGGTCTGCGAACGTGCTACCACTCTGCGAAAAATCTGCCCTCTCCCGACTGTGAACGTGCTACCTCTGTGGGAAGATTCCTGCCTCTCGCAATCTACGAAAAGTGTTTGACGTGGCCCCCAAAAATTCCATCAGCTTCAATCTGCGGGTTTGTGGTAATCACTAGAAGCGGAAGGAGAATAAGAAGAGGCCGACAAAGGAGGAAACTTGCAAGGCTATCGACAAATAAGGAAGAAGCAGGGTGAGAAGAAGTCACTGATTTCCATTTGGTAAGCTTCGCGGTCCTCGTTAAATGCAGTAGATTTCTTGGATTTTGTTTTCATGGTAGGTTAAGGAGGAATGACCCACTGAAAGGTGGGTGTGTTTGGTAATGACATTTAGGTTCTAACCCAGGAATGATTACCAATGTGTCACATAGTGTTCGGCCATTTCCCTAACTGCCCTTTAGCAAATGCTCCTGATTTAGTGAGCGAAAGCTTGTGAGTGTAGCATGAAGAGTTTGTGTGGGGGCTAAGTAAGAAAGTTATTAATTATTTAGGGAAAAATTAGTGTTGGTAGTTAACTGCATTGCTATAGTGTTTGTAGGCATTTTGCAGGAATAAGGAAAAGAATTGGGAGGGGCAAATGTTGTCGTATGGATTAGGCAAATGAGTTTGTTTTGTTTGGTTTATCCCGTTGATTGTTGGAATGTGAGATTTTGTGGGCTAACAATAGGAGTTAGTCAATTGACGTGAAGAATTAGTTGACTAACCAGTTGCATATGACAACCTCATGTGTGCATATATCTGTCAACTTAGGCAATTTACATGAAGAATCAGTAAATTACCAGCTATGTTTGTTGGAATCTAATCTGTAGTGGCCTCACAAGGAAAATTAGGCAATTAACAAGAGGAATTAGGGGTCTATCCAGTTAGCTTCTGTCGAACGGTTTTCATGTTTCCGGGAATCTGTCAAGTTAGGAAATTTACATGGAGAATCAGTCAATTACCCACTAAGTTTGTGGGAATTTGGTGTGCAGTTGCCTCACAGGGAAAATTAGGCAATTGACACCAACAGTGAGTTGGATTTCTACTTAGCTTATGTGTAACTGTTTGATGCGTGCTGGACTGAGAAAGTTAGGAAATTTACCTCGACAATTAGTTAATTAACCACCTCTGCTGCATAATTGCATGTTTGTGGGAATGTGGTTTGCAGCGGCCTCACAGGGAAAATTAGGTGATTGACACGAGCAATTAGGTGAATTTCCACTTAGCTTCTGTTTAAGTGGTTGATGTGTGGTGGACTTTGGAAGTTAGGGAATTTACATGAACAATCAGTAAAGTAACAACTGGCAATTCAAAATTTCATGTTTGTTGGCATGTGATCCGTAGCGGGCCTCATAGGAGAAATTAGTCAATTGACACGAGGATTTAAGGGATTATCTGCGTAGCTCCTGTCTAACGGTTTCATATTTTTGTTGAATTTGTCAAGTTAGGAAATTTACATGGAGAATCAGTAAATTACCCACTAAGTTTGTGGGAATTTGGTGTGTAGTTGGCTCACAGGGAAAATTAGGCAATTGACACCACCAATGAGCTGGATTTCCACTTAGCTTATGTGTAACTGTTTGATGCGTGCTGAACTCAGAAAGTTAGGAAATTTACCTCGACAATTAGTTAATTAACCACCTCTGCTGCATAATTGCATGTTTGTGGGAATCTGGTTTGCAGCGGCCTCACAGGGAAAATTAGGCAATTGACATGAGCAATTAGCAGAATTTCGACTGTTCGCCGATGTAATTGTTTGATCTGTGTTGGAGTGTGAAAGTTAGGAAATTGACATGAAAAAGTAGTTAATTAACCACCTCTGTTGCATAATTTAATGTTAGTTGGAATCTGATCTTTTGTGGCCTGACAATGAATGTTAGCTAATTTACACGAAGAATGGTGTCATTATCCAGTTAACCTGCATGTAACAATTTGATGTCCCGTCGTATGACAAGTTAAGGATTTAACAATAATAATTAGTGTGTATACAATTTCCGGGTTTATGTTACAAGAAATGTTAGATGGTATGAATGTTGCTGTTTAATGTACTAACTAATGACTTTGTGATTATTGGATACAGGAAGAAGATGGGAAAAAAGGACGCACAAGTTACTGGCTAGAAAGTATTCAAGGGAGAATATTGGGAGCAAAAGAAGCAGGAGATGCATGGAAATATGGGAGCAATCACAGATGCGGCTTCAGCAATTTGGAGGGAGATGAGTGATGCTGACAGGGAGCCGTACAGGAAGAAGGAAGGAACAGCTGATAGAGGAGAAGAAGAAGAAGGAGAAATATGTGTCCCCATTTTCTACTCGGTGCTCCCCCACAAAATTCAAGGAAGTGGCAAAGTTTATAAATGGAAAGAAAATTTAAAGCGCAAGGTAGAAGAAATGGGGTTTGGTCATCTTCTTGGTATTACTTTGAATAAGCTGCCCAGAGATTTATGTCTGGAGTTGATTCATGCATATGACCCCCCAAGTAAACAAATTACCATAAGGGGGAAGACAAAGAAGGTCACTAGTACAGATGTTAGGAGGGTTCTTGGGTTACCAGATAAGGGCTCCAAAGTGAAGTTGGATGGCTTCAAGGATGAAGTAAATGAGCTGAAGAAGGACTATACTCCACTGACATATTCTCAAATTGCGGAGAAGATAAAGAGTGATGAAGAAGATGGAAACTTTGAATTCTATTTTGTTCTTTTCACAGTGGGCACTCTTCTTTGTCCCACGGGAAGTACAAGTGTGAGTGACAAGGTGCTAAAAGTGGCCTGCACAGAAAATAACTGGAAAAAATTTGACTGGGCTTCCTTTGTGCTTGACGAGCTCAGTGAGGAAATTAAACGGTACAATAGGAGCAGTAAGGAAGGACAGACCGAGAGTGCTAGAGTTGTCAGAGGGTGCATCTACTTTTATTGGTACTTGCATATTTCCTTACAAAATATGCCTTGTTGGATATGCTTTGAACATTAAACTGTTGATGTATTATGTAATTTGATTTTTGAGTCATATTTTTTCTTTCTCTGCAGTTGCACTTCCTGCAAAGGTTCCCTCTGCAGGGAGGTGAACCAAAAGACAAAGACGCCGTCAGACATTGGGATGATAAGGCTGTGAAGAGGAGAATTGATGCGGAAAAGGAGAGTCGACATGGCATTTTCTACAGTCCACCCGCTGCTGAAGTGAATGAGTCAACACAACCGGGGAGCAGTAGAAGTTTCCATCATCCGGTGAGTAATACCAATGTGATAATGTCTGTTGGTGAGACTTAATATCTGTTTGATGACATACATTTACAATGTGCAGGACATTAAGGAGTTTTGGCTCAATTTCAACAACATATTGAACAATGAGATGGCCAAGATTCAAAACTTAGTTTGTGATGAATTAGTTAAGCTGGAAAACAAACTTCTTAACCAGGGAGGCAATGAAGAAGAAGGAAAAGAACACCACACTAAGGAGGATGAAAATGAGCGGCCACAACATGATGAAGTTATGACTATAGAGAGTGGAGAAACACATGAAAGTGGTGACAAATCGCATGATGATGAACAGCAAGAAGAAGAAGAAGATGAGGAAGATGAAGACAAGAACGACAATGTGAGAGAAGATGAAGCTACAGAAAAGGATACTGAAGATGAACAGGCAGCTCAAACGAAAGAAGGAAACGAAGAAGGGAAAATGGTAGGCAAAGCAATGCAGCTACCCACAAAGAGGTTAAGTAGATGTAAAGTCCCAACAGTTAAATCTCCTTACATGTCTACTTATGGCAGAAAGGTGAAAATGAGTGACAGGGATGCATTTTATACTGTGTGTACTGAGTGGTGTCAAC